GAACCACATCTGTCATCCAGGAGGATGCAGCCACCATTTAATGGGACTGCTACAACACCCTGACTGACAGGGTGTCAGGTTGTATTCTGACTCTGTCGGTGGTTTTTCTTTTGTATTATTGCATGTATCTTATTTTTTTCTCTTTTTTTCCTATTAAATTGTATTACTGACTTGCAGTCTCTCACTGGTTTTCTTTCAAACCACCACACCCACAAAGGTTATATGATAGTGATTGGGCACTGTAAAGTGCTTTTACCCATTAGCTCTGGTTTTCACCCAGCGACAGATCTTGACTTTACCAGGAAAATTAAACAAAAGAAAATAATATTTTATCTCTGTATTGAACTTTTAGCAGTTGCTATAGCAATAACATTTCTCAAAATGCTAAATTCAAAGTAACAGCTACCTTTGCTCTTGAGACATCGACTTTTATTTTTTCAATTTCTCTCACATTCCATTTAAAGAAGCTGTGAGTCTGTGCTCCCATCAACAAAATATTCAAAGTTAATTTTAAAAAGAAAACAAAAAAAGGGATTGACCACCTTTTTTTTGCATCTCCCACTGTTTTAGCACTCCCATGCCACATTAGTAATATGATGTGTGCGCTCTGATATTCAGTGAGAGATGCTATAGGACACACCCTGCTGTACAGAGGCTGGATACAGGCTGTAAGTGATGCACTTCTGACAATACCTCTAAGTTGGCAGAGATGAGAATCTGACTCTCTCTTGTGCAGCATCTTTGTATTTCACCTGGATCAGGCTTTTTAGATATCATCTGATGCAGTCTTCTCCTTAATGTTTTCTAAGTTTTTTTCATGTTTTAGTTTATGTTTTTCTTTTCTGAAGTTCCAGTCCAGAACATACTTTATGTCTTTCTAGGGTATTAAAGAATTTAGGTGAAATAGCTTGGTTAAGTTTAATTCATAGTTAAACAGCCAAAACTTCCCTGTGTCAGCTTAGGCTAGCAGTTTGTTAGTAACACAGTCACTGTGGGGCAGCAATAAAAGAAAAAATTTTATGAAAGATACATGCACAGTATGTTTTGCTCTTTCTCCTTATCAGGGGTAGAGCATCACTTATCAGATGCTGCCTTGGATCAGACCCACTGGAGACCCTGCAAGTGCAGAGGAGACGTGGCCTTGGGCAGAGGCAAGCTGCCATCTCACAGGGCTTAGGGACCACCAGGAGCAGCTGTCTGTCGCAGAAGCATTTTTGAGTAGTCTAAGGAATTAGGAACCTGCATTTTATTATCATAAAGGGATAGGACCCTGGAGTTATCTGAGCTTTTTCATGAAGCCCAGCCTATGGGCCAGCCACTGTCGTGGTTTTCCTTTATCTTGAAGTGAATCTTCAGCAATGCAGGCAAGTACCATAGGAAATGATGCTGTGAAAAACATCTACAGACACCCATGTCAGCTGGTCCATGCTATGGCTTTCAGGACCATTGGTGGAATACTCAAGAGTATAAAATTTCAGGGTGAAATTTTGTGGAAATTAAGCTTTTTGCAGAGCTCAGGGTCACTTTACCAACAGTCTGTGGTCTCTTCTCCTACTACATTAGGAATTAACTGCCTGTGCCCAGGCCATTGCTGCCATTTCCAGCCTTGCTGATCCCAACCTTGCCTTCCTGACTTGGCTTCCCAGCTTGACCTTCAACTTGCTTTGTCACCAGAGATTTGCCTGGTGATCAGGGAACAGTTGGCCAGACCTGCTCTTCTGCCTCGCTGGGGTGCCATGGCACTGTGGCTTTCAGTGACAATGCTGCCCCGTCTGCCTGGCTGTCACCCTCAGCTCCTGGCTCACTGCCCCTTGTGGAGCTGCCAGCTCTAACTGCTCCCTGACACAGAGGTTAAATTTGACTCAGATTTGTTGCTTAGCTTCAGTTTTCATTATTCTTTAAATTCATTATTAAAGTCTTTAAATTAAAAGCCCAAATAGAGTTAACTTTCCAACCCTTATGGCGTGTGAAAGATTTAAAAATCAACCACTGAGTTCTTTTTTCCATGAATTTACACTGAAGTTTGGTTCTGCTTTTATTTCAATACTACGGTGAAATTTCATATTCTGTTGCAAAATGCATAGGTCAGCAGTGGAAAAAATTCATGATGAAGTAACTTGCACTGCTGCTTGCATAATTCTTCCTTCATAATATATAAGAAAGAACTATAGAAAAAGAACCCCAAATCAGAAACACAAACCCACATCAAAACAAAATCCAGTAAATAGAAGCAAAAAAGAGAAGGGGATGTAATTTTCTAGAGAGGAAGGCAACAGCCAGAATAGTGACTACCCACAGGATCACAGAACAATTGTGGTTTGAAGGGACCTCAGGGAATCTCAACCTTCTGCTAAAGGGAAGGAGGTCAGCTGTAAGGTTAGATGTTGCTCAAGCTTTGTTGAGTTGGGCATTGGAAACCACTGAGGATGCAGCACACAGAACATCTTGGTGCAACCTGCTTCACTGCTTAGCAGCTCTTCATAGCTCAGAAACTCATCCTTATATCAACTCTGACCTTTCTTGCTTCACATTATACACATGATTTCTTGTCCCTCCTTGTCCTGGTTTCAGCTCAGGTAAGTTCCTTTCAACAGCTTTTATAGTGCTGTGTTTTGAATTCAGATTGAGAATGGTGTTGATAACACACTGATGTGTTTTGGTTTTTATTAAGGGTTTCTCTTAAGTAAAGAATTTTTTTTGTGTCTTATGCTCTGCCAGGGAGGAGGTTTGCAAAAGAAACGGAGAGGGGACATAACTGGGGCAGGTGACCCGAAATGCCAAAGGGACATTCCACACAATAGAATGTCCTGCCCAGTATATAACCTGGGGAGATTACCCAGAAGGGTGGCTGATCTGGCTTCAGGAAGCGGTGTTTGGCATTGGTCAGTGGTGGTGAGCAATTGTGTTGTGTCACTTGTTTGTTCCATTACTATTATTATTATTATTATTATTATTATTATTATTGACCATTATTACTATATTTTAAAATTTATTTTTAATTGTAAAACTGTTATCATCTTAACTGACTAGTTTTACTTTGATTCTCCTTTCCATTCCCCCTGTCTGTGGGGGGACAGAAGGGGGTTGAGCAAGTGGCTGCATGGTCCCTAATTTCCAGCCAGGCTTAAAACACACCACTCCTGCTGGGAGCTCTTGTGAAGAGCTTGGCCCCATCTACTCAATATCCTCTTTGCAGGATTGCAAAGCTGCCATTAGGTCCATTAGTCCTCTCTTCTCCAGGCTGAACAAGCCCAGCTTGCACAACCTGGCAAGGTCCCATTTCAGAATGTGAAATTAACGGAAAGTATAAACACACACAGCAACTCATGAAAACCATGAAATGCTCTTTGCAATGGAGAAATTTTTGATTTAAACACAGAGGGATATTCTAATTAGAAATATCTTACTGCTTGTGACCACTTTATGCACATCCTCCAAATATAATGTCAGACCTAAAAGGGTGCTGAAAAGTGCTGGTCAAAATCTTTCCACCACACAAATTTGCTAGAGGGTAAATTTTTTTATTTTAATGGAAAGAAAAATTATTTCCCTATGAAATAAAAAAAACCCACCATAACCAAATATTTTTCCTGGGAATTGAGCAAAAGTGTAAAGGCTGTGAGAAGAGAAAAAAAATGTAATGTTTTAACTCTTATCAGAGGGTTGGGTGTCTGGATGGGATAGGGAGCCAGGCAGATGTTTCTGGGGCCTGCACATGGTTCTTGAATTAACAGCTGCACTTCTGATTTGTGCTAACATCAACTATTTCAAAATGTGAGTGTTTTTACTTCCATTCTTACTGTTTTGTTGGTACATTCATTTTCTTTGCTGGTTTTCCAGTATTGCTGGCTGGCTTGTGTAATTTTTTTAAAACTGGCAGACTAAGAGCCCTGGAACCTCTAGGTGAGGTCTTCATGTGCAGTTAAGTAAATGGATGCAAACCCTACTCTATTGAGTCTGAAAGCAGAACCACAGTCCAGATTTCAGTCATAATAAGCAAGTCTAAAGGCTGGCCCTTTACATTGCTGAGATGTGAAACCTCACCTTTCTATCCTTCTCTTCCTCCCCTGCATGTATCAGGACAAGTTTCATCCAAGTTAAAACACTATTGGCTAGAATTTGCTTCTTTATAGGTACTTGCATTAATGAATCTTCAACTATCTGAAACCCAATACTGGTATGCATGACATACAGTTGTACATTAGAACATATATTTTTCAAGTGAAAAAAAAAAGCTTAAGGGCAGGTAAGTGCCTGTACACAGGAGGCAAACAGTTTTAAGAAGTGTCAGATCTCAGGGGTATGCTAAAGAAGAATTTGATTCTTTAATGAAACATAGGAACCATCATAGCAGCAAAAATAACACCATGAAATTACAGAGAAATTTACCACACTCTGTCTGCTCCTTTGCTAATCAGGACAAAGAGGATTTCAGCCTTCCTCCAGCTTAGTACATTGCAGCAGGCTGGCTAGCAAGCTGCAACAGGAGACAGTTCTGTGGGGGTATCCTCAGTAATTGAGTCAGCATGTCACAGGCATCCTTCTTGGTTGTGCATTTGTTTGTTGTCACTGATTTATATACCATACGTGATTTAAAGATACATGTTGATCCTCCATTGATTTCATTGACCCTGTATTGAGTTCTTATTGGCTCCAGCTACTGGTTTTGCTTAGACTGGTATCTCTGACTTTTGAGGAATTTCCTAGGTACAGACTGCAGAAGAATTTTTCTTTCTTTTCCTTTTAGGTTATCCAGTTTTCCTTTGCATGTGCTCATTCAGGAAATTTTGACACTCAGTGTTTCACAGGAAGTTCTGTAAGTGACCAGTGCAGTGTTTTTTGTAGCAGAAGTGCACAGAGCATGTTTTTTCACTTGGTCTTCCTCACGCTTTTGTAGGCACAAGCAACACCTGAGCAAATTCACTATCTCTGTTCGTGCAGTTTCACTCACAAAGCAGTACAGAATGGGATCCGCAATGCAATTCAAACTTGTTAAGGCCTGTGTGATTCTGTAAACCTTATACATCGACAACAAATCATGTGGGTCAGAGGTGGAAGGTTCTTTGATGCTGCGGATAAACAATACAACGTGATAAGGAGTGAAGCAAACAATGAAACTAACTGTGATGTTCAGAATAAGTTTCCTCACTTTTTTCTTTTCTTCATCTACTGTGGCTTGGTTATACCTCACTACTTGGTAGATTTTATGGTAGCAAAACACAATGATTATCAAAGGGACCAAGTATCCTGAGCATATTCGGAATAAATTTATGTTCGCCTGCCACCTTTCCAGGGGGTAGTTATCATAGCATAGTGTATGATTAGTGAAATTGCAAGGGTCATTGAATACTTCTTTTTTTACCAGTATGACTGAATTAGAGATGCTTTCCAGAAGCCAAACAATTATGCTGACAATCAATGAAAATCTTCTTGTGCGCAAGTACTGGAGCTTCAAGGGGTGAACTAATGCCAGGTACCTGTCGAGAGAGATGCAAGCAAGGAACGCAGTGCTGGTGTAGAAATTCATATACATAAGGAAGGCAAAAATCTGACACAGCAAGGCAGAGAACCTCCAGTCATCTCCATGCCAAGCATAATCAATCCACAGAGGCAGAATCAAAGAGTACAAAAGGTCAGCCAGGGACAGGCTAAAGATGTAGACTGCTAACTCATTCTTTTTCCTCACCTGAACATAAGATGCATAGAGGGATATACAGTTGATGGGAATACTGATCATCATCACAATGCTGTACACAAATGGAAACAAATACTTATCCAGTGTGTGATCATCATGGCACTCAGTGCTGTTGTTCATTGTCCACTCCAGTGGTATTCTTGAGATAATTCCAGCCTGGGTGCAATAAAACCCCCTGTTGTAGTATGATGGGTTGTCATCTGTTAGTTCTTCAGGACCTGATTGACAAGATTCCAGCCTTCTGTTACCAAAAAGGAAAAATGTCAGCTATAACATTGCTGTTGTTTTTGTGGGATTCTTGGTGTGTGTCTTTTCCTTTTTTTTAGAAGAAAAAAACAGTGTTTGTGGGAGATCAGAGGATGCTAATGCTCCCTGAGTTAGGAATGCATAGGAGAAGGAACCCAAAATCTAAGGTTTTCAGGGTCAGTTAGATAGAAGCTTCTACAGCAGAAGCAGAATGAGTAGTTGTGACACTTCTTCTAGGAGTGGGGTGGTATCCTGCAATCCTGTGTCTCTCTTGTGGGAGAGTTAAAGGAGATCAGAAAGTGGACCACTAATAAAATAATAGATGTGCACTTTCTATTATTCTGGTAAGCACTGTTTTGAGAATATGAATATGGCAGATTTCCTATCCCAAATAACTTTCTCCCCTCTAAGGCATTGGAGAGACAAGGATAGAAATACAGGCATTCAGGTACTGCTGGACGTTGGGATCTGCTCAGAAAGGGAAAATGTGTCTGGTATATTTTCCTATTGCAAATCACTCTTGTCTTGTTTGCATCCTCATACATTCCTGATTCCTCTCTGTTGTATGTGATCCCACAGGAACTTGCCATTAACTGTGCTGTTCCAGCAAGACTTACTGCATGTACCAGAAACCCTCGTGTGAAACCTGCCAGGCTATTGGGTTCCTGCATGCACATGACAATCTGCTGGGTGTCCCTTTAAATATGTGAGGTGGAGACTGAGTACAACTTTTCATTTACACGTCTTCCCTCTAAAAATTTCAGCTGTGATACATGAGCTTATAAAGCCATTAGCAATTAAACTTTTCTTAGTCACTTTCAGGACTGCTGTTATCAACAGCTTCACCATGAAAATATCAGTAAAATGGAAGCCTTGACTAAAGCAGGGGGACTGGAGGAGTTGCGTGTGTTAGCCTGAGAAACACGTAGATGAGCTGACCTTTCAGTAAGAAAGGGTGTATAAGTGTAATTGTGAGACAGCTGGTACTCCCTGATTGTATCACAGCTCTGACACTCAGCAGTTCCCTTCTCTAGAGACCTAATTGTTACGTTCAGGAAATACGAGAATGGAAAATATTCGTTGCAGTCCAGTTATACTGCCAAATATACTAACTGCTTGAGAGACTGCTGTGATAGCTCATCTGTGCTTTGGGCCTGGACTGCAGCAGAGCAGGTGAAGAGGCTGAAGAATGAGTAGGTTCCAAGACAGCATATCTACAACTGTTCCCACATGGGAAAGAACTCCAATGGAATAAATGTTGTGTGCAGAAACTTTCCCATGTGGTAAGAAAAATTCAGCCTTTTAGAGACTTGATATGTTTGTGAGTTTATCAGAAAAACCCAAACACGTTTATTGCCTGTCCTGAGATATTATTATATGGATCTCTTGTCCACGAAAAAGCCCCTTATGTTATTATTCATAAAAAAAGGGAGCAATGACAAAACTACCCAGAAAGCACATATTCAATTTTACCTGCCACTGCCTTATTTGATCAAGTTGCCTAACTTATCAGCTAGAGCTAAACTCATTCACAAGCTTGAAAGCCAGGGAAAATTCTCAAGAAGGACTTGCCAATTTGGTCCATTGAGAAACTTTATCAACATGATGACTAATTTAAAAAAAATGCAGTGTCTATATTTAAGACAAACATAAGATGTCTGCATTTCAGCTTGGTTTCATAAAACCACACAGTAAATAGGGCATTGTAAGCTTATCAGTACAGATAAGTATCACAAAATAAAAATCTAGCTCTAGAAATTGGATCTCAGGGTTTTATAACCCACTTCTCACCAAAAAGAAATCAAATGTATGCAGACAGACCAGATGAATCAAAGATAAAATACCTACCTCTTCTCCTAATCACATTTTAGCATCTCTTTTCCTATGACAAGTCTCTTCATGTCTAAAAGGGAAACGTGCCCTTTCAGAAGCATGTGTGTAATGCAGCAAGTGTATGAGGCAGTGTTTCCTCATCTCGTGACTGAGAAATTGGAATTCCTTCTCCCTCCTCCATAAACTCTTTTGTTAGTTAACTTGTATTACACACTCGCCATCCTTATAAGCTCCAAACTTCTCTCTTATTACTCACAACAGCTTCTTTTGTATCTACTCTTAGACCAACATACCAATTTCCTCATAACACCTGGGTTTTTTTCAGTTTTTTCATTTTAACTCATTGTTTCTAGTTTCTAAGAGTTTTGCTCTCTTGATCTTACTGATCATAAGGTAAAACACTTGTCCTTATATTGCTCTCATCAGAATAAACCACATGTTCTTTGGGGCAAAATTTTGCTTTGCTCTTCTGCCATCTGCCTTAAGGAACTAAATTCTGAAGGTGTAATTGGCTAATGGCAGGCTGGGACACTAAAAATGAAATTCAAAGAAGTGAGTTGAAACCACATGAAAATAAACTGCACCTCAGAATTTTTTTTCTGTTCTTCATATTCACAAGTCACTGTACCCCCATTGCTTTCTCCTCTTCTTAACCAGTATGTTCATTAGTTCCTACAAAGGCAGGCAGCCCTGGAGGCTGTGTAGCATTGCCCAGGTAGTCCACGTCCCAACTTTGGTGACACATTGATGGTACTTACATGAGGACATGCTTTCAGTGATGGTAATAATGAGAAGTGTGTCATTCTGGCATATATTCATGACCTATACTTAAGTGTGTCAAAGAGCCAGCCAGTGAAGCTTACCACAAAGCATGCTGCAGTTCCTTGCACAGAAATATAAAAGCAGAAACCGCCACTTTGCCCTGATTACAACACATTTCACTCAAATTGCTTGGAGCCTTATTTCAGAGGAAGTAGTCCATATCACACTTTCTTGCTGAGTTGCTTTTCTGATAATTAGGACTTCGTAATGCAAGATGATTTTTCTTACCTGAATGCATGATCTGAAGCATTCCCGGGTTTTCTCTCTGCTACTGAGCACACCTGCTGGTTTTGCCTAGGAGGATGGTATTGGCTTACAGCTATCCTAAAAAACAATATTTGATAATTTTCCCCAATTATATATTTTTTTTAACCATCAAGGAATTTTGGTTTAATGACATGGTCTAATAGTTTGACTTTCATGGTCCAAACCTACTGTGACTAATTCCATACACTTAGACTTGTTGTGGTATCAAATGTTTCAAATAAAAAAAAAAATCTTAACAGTATTTTTTTCTTTTAGACACATTATTCAGTTATTATAGTTCCTGCCTCTGTCATTTTGCTACAGAAAACCTACTGTACAAGAATTCTGAAGAGTCAGTAAGACATAAAATTTAGAGAAATGGATGAGCAAATGTTACGCTTCAAGTACTATATGCAAACAAACCTGTGAAGGAACCTTGTGAGATTTTCTAGAGAAAAGTAGTCATTATATATTGTATTTGTATCAATACATTTCTACAGCATCTTCTTCAGGTTCATAGAGAGCTTTATGTGGTATCTCCATTTATGACGTTTTGAAGGTCCCAAAGTACAAAGTTAAACTTTCATAAGCTTAAATACAGAAGAATATTCCTTACTCTTATCTGTAAAAACGTTTGTAAGGGAAGAAAGGAACAATGGTCTGTGAGCTAGTGCAGTAGCTGCTGTACTGGTGTTACCATATATCAGTCATAAGATGGAATGAAACAGATTGTCTTCCTTTTTCTCTTTAAGCAATTTCAACAAGTAGATTGTTTTGTGTTCTTATAATAAGTTCTATTGCCAAGTTGAGTTCTTCAAGTTCCATAGCTAATTCTTTTTACCTGATGAGCCGATCTCAAAACTCAATCCTGAAAAACTTCATTTTAGGACAGTTGCAATACGCTTTTTAGAAATATGGACTTTTCTGCTTAAAATTAACAGCATTTTTCCTCATGCAACATTAAATTTCACCCACAGGTATCCATGAGATTCTGTAGAGACTCAAACAGTTCTAAAAGAGCTCAGCCTTTTAAACTTGAAGATACACTTTACAGACAGTTTCATTGAGCATAAACATTCACTTAATGTGAGCAAACCAGAAAAAAATCACTTTTTTTAGAATGTAGGCCATGCAGGCAAGTATTATTCTGCTATATCATTAAGTACATCATGTTTTCCTCTATACATACAGAAATATGTACAATCTATTTTTACATAGATGATACTTGGCATTCTAAGAAGCTGTTTTACCAGAGCTTATTCTCCTGCTAAGTTTTAAGCATTTTGTATATTCATATAAATAGCACTGGGTATCTTGACAGTGTCGGAAAATTTGGAAGAGCACTAATAGAAGAGTTACTGGAGTCCTCTCTCAGGCCTGAGGCACATTTTGCAGTGATGGGACAGCTCATATGTTGAAAATGCACCCCCAAATACAGCTCTTCTCCATTCTTCCCTCCTTTTGTAATCAACAGTATTTTGATCATGGCAATGCCATTACAGCAATGAATCAAGCTTTCTTTCCTAATCCTAGCCACATCTTTCCTAATTCGTGTCTTTTGCCTTAGTCTCATGTTTTGGTTGTACTAGGACTGAAATAATCCCTTCCCCAAAGCAATCTTTTCCAGCCCCTTCTGTGTCCCTTCTTTTAGATGTATAACCTCAGCATCCACTAGGAAGAGCTAGGCTGAAGCCTGTCCCAGAATGGAGTTGTGTCTCTAGCTCATGGAATCCTGAGCACTTACCTTGGCAGCCACGTGTCCCCGTGCAGCGGTTCCTGTTATGCCATGGACAGGGTAACCTGTATCTGCTTCTAAGAAAAGTGTCTGCTTCTGCTTGATCAGATACAGAGACAGGAAGCTGCTCTTAAACAGGCAGCAGTTCACACATTTCTTGGTTTTGCTTCCTTTTTTTATTTTTTTTTTCTGTCCCCAACTCCTTGTTAATCTAAGCTTATCCATGAGAAAAAGGATGATGAACAAAGGATGGAAGCAACCTCAGTAGATATAGGAATACTTTTAGAGACTTTATAGAAGTTTAATTTAAAATATTGCCTCATTATATGAGCTTAGTATATTATACACCCCTTATCTAGGAGACATCACATTCTGCAGAGAAAGCAATTCACAGAAATAAAATGCTGTATTTTATTTGTGTTTAGCTGTATAAGTTCAAAATTGCATGTTTGTTGTTGACTGAAGGACCTCACCTGCTTTTCCCTAAAAACTGATCACGGAATCAAATAAGAATCCACGTGAGAAGAGCTCAAAAATGTTTTAGAATGACTTTAGGTGTTTGTGGAAAAATAATTAAGTATTTTCAGAATTTATGAGAAGTCAATGAATAGTTCTCGCTAATGAAGGATAACAGCATTTTATGCACCACGACTGCTTACATATTTATGTATTTTTACATAAACTAAGTCTGAGGTTGGATGCAGCTTCCAGAAGAGTGATCCCTCTAACACATAATTCTATTCAATTAGACCGGTGGAAAATTGTTACATAGTTCTCTTCCCTCTCTGTGATCAGAATAATTTATTGTGTGTATTTTTTCTTAAATTATGTTTGGAACAATACAATTCTGCTTTAAGAAAGTGGGTACAAATTCATTTGAAATGCCCATCTATTGGGTAATACCAAAACTGTCCAGTTTGATGATTCAGATGCTAAGGAGAAATGAAAGAGAACAAATTGAAAAGTTCTAAAATAGGGGCATACTGACTTCCTTGAGAATACCAGGCAGCTCTACAATATTTATCTACTGTATACAGCGATTTGGTTCCTTTTTTTCAGTCCGTGTGACTTTTTCATCCAAAGTTTTTTACTGATCTGATTGTTATATGAAGCCTAAACTATCAAATACTTGTGGCCATTCCAAGCTGTTATAATAGCCCCTTCCTGTTTGGTGAATGGCACTTACTTAGATAAATTTCTCAAATAAATTTCAGTCACATGTTCATTTTCACTGAGAAAAGTAATTAGACGAAGACCCATTTCATCACTTTCCATGTGCCTTTTCCTAACATGGTACCTACTGGGTGTCCAGTATGCTGGTTCTGGAGTTTTGCTGAGCATTCCTGTACTTTGCTGAAGAAAAAACAGTTTTTATCATTATTAGAAATACAGAAACATAGTTGAAACATCTCTAAAGTTCTCTGCTGTGATGACAGCAGAATTGAAAGATCAATGAAAGCAAGAGAGGAGATGATGCCTTTAATACATTCTGGAAGTAAAGCTGTATGTTAAAACAAATTCTTAATTATGACCATATGCAAAATTTTAATTTCTGATGTAAACAGCACAGTTTTCCAGGTTTTTGTGAGATCTGGACATACACAGTATCTCAGATCAGTCATACATGAACAACAGGTGTTACTATTAGTGTTTGCTGAAGGAAAAAACCCCAGCCCTGAAACAGAAAAGCATTCACATTGGAAAATGATCTTATCTAGAAAAGAAGCAATGAGTAAGTCCTCAATAAATTTATTGGTTAAATTTGGGGTTACAAAGGATCCATGAACAAAGGTGTTGTCAGGAAAATTAATCCACAAACATCAGAGGTTTATACCCAAAAAGGAGACAGAGGAGTCCTGTAACATTACTTGAATAAAGAGAGAGGTCATGGGGAATTCCCATGAGATCACCCAAAATTTTCCCTCCATTTTTCTTTTTCCTTGTGTCTCTGTTTTTCTCTAAATCCAGACATGTAGTACAGTCTGAAGTGAGTAACAGTCTGTGTCAATTAGTGGAATTCCTGTAGAATTTATGTTTTCCCCCCACTGCTTCATTCACCTCTCCATATCTGGCCTTATCTATCATCAGGCCCACAGTTTGTTTGCAGACACCTCCTTTTCATTCCTTTCAGTGGAAAGAAAACAGTTCAACACAAGGTCAAGATGCAGAATGAAAGTTGACAGTCACACCAAAACATCCTTTTCCTTCCACCAAAACAGATTTTGAGAATGTTTTTCTGTACCAACTGAAAAGGCCAGTAGCTCAACACATCACAGGATTGCAAATACAAGTTTTGAGAATTTTAGGATCTCATGAGTGAATGAGACAATTTCACAGCTGAAGCCTTTTACATGAAATAAACTGATGCAATAATCAATGAAACTATCAAAATGAACCAATTAATAATTCATAATGGTTTTGCAAACCTTCCAGGTGTGCAAAGCTGTACAGTCTGCTGCAATTAATGTGAAATAGGACCAGGAGCATAATGCTACCTCTGGCACTGACTCACAGTAGCCCTGAGGAAGTCACTCTGACTGTCTGCATGTAATAATGATATCATATAGCTCATTTGGGTGTGAGCAGGTTCATTAGTTAATAGTTTATATTGCTGTAAAGTGCAAAATGTTTTGTGAGTGCTTGGTATTGTTATTTAAAAAGAACTAAACAGG